TGGTTTCGTGCCCCTCCCTCCCCTCCAGGGAGGCCCCGCCTGAGCGAGGAGGGTATCGGGAACCTGTACCATTTAAATGGTTTCGTGCCCTTCCCACCTCTCCAGGGAGGCCCCGCCTGAGCGAGGAGGCTATCGGAAACCAATAAAGATTACATGGTTTCGTGCTCCTCCCACCCCTCCAGGGAGGCCCCGCCTGAGCGAGGAGGGTAACGGAAACCCATATTATTTACATGGTTTCATGCCCCTCCCATCCCTCCAGGGAGGCCCCGCCTGAGCGAGGAGGGTATCGGGAACCCATACTATTTACATGGTTTCGTGCCCTTCCCACCTCTCCAGGGAGGCCCCGCCTGAGCGAGGAGGGTATCGGAAACCCATACTGTTTACATGGTTTCGTGCCCCTACCACCCCTCCAGGGAGGCCCCGCCTGAGCGAGGAGGGTATCGGAAACCCATGCTATTTACATGGTTTCGTGCCCCTACCACCTCGAGCTCCAGGGAGGCCCCGTCTGAGCGAGGAGGGTATCGGAAACCCACACTATTTAAATGGTTTCGTGCCCCTCCCACTGACATGGGTGAGGAGGAGGGGAGAACATTACCTATCCATCTCACTTCCTACTCCTCCCACTGAGGAGGGTGAGGAGGAGGGGGAGTTCTGCGATGAGGAAGGCTTCATCATGATGATGGTGATGACGATGGTTATACTGCTGTTCACGATGACGATGACGATGGCGATAATGGTGATGGACGATGACGATGGCGATAACGGTGATTATGATGATGATGATGCTGATGATGATGACGATGATGATGACGATGATGACAACGATGGCGACGACGACGAGGATGATGCAGATGCTGGTGATGATGACGATGCTGCTGCTGATGCTGACGTTGCTGGTGCTGTTGATGATGATGACGACGATGATGCTGATGATCATGACGTCCACGATGATGCGGACGATGATGATGCCAAGGACGGTGATGGTGATGATGATGACGATGCTGATGATGATGATGATGACGATGGTGGCGACGACGATGATGATGATGATGACGATGACGCTGGCGATGATGATGATGCTGATGATGATGATGAGGATGATGCTGATGGTTATGATGATGCCGATGATGCTGACGATGATGATGATGATGTTGATGATGTTGATACTGATGAAGATGACGATGATGCTGATGACGACGACGACGACGGGGTGACGACGATGCTGCTGATGATGCTGATGATGACGGCGATGATGCTGGTGATGATGATGATGATGCCGAGGATGAGGAGGACGAGGAGGAGCAGGACGACGAGGAGGAGGAGGAGGAGGACTCGCTTGAACGAGGAGGGTCGCGGACAGCATTACTCTTTACCAGGTTTCGTAGGCCTCCCCCCTTCCAGCGGGGCCCCGCCAGAGCGAGGAGGGTATCAAGAACCCGTACTATTTACAAGGCTTCGTTTCCTGAGCACCTGTCCTCCCTCCTCCTTTCTTTCGTCTGCCCTTTTGTGGTTACTTACTCGTTCGATGAGCTTCTCCTTCGTGTGAATGTTGTCGTACCCCATGGGTCCCACGAAACCGTTAATATCTTTATGTGGGGAACTCCGTTTGCATAATTTTACCATTGATTGGACTGCAATCGATTCCACTGGGTTTGCACTTGATTGGCTTGCAATCGATTGGATTGCAACCGCTGGGGGGGCGGACAGGGCAGCGACGAGGAGGCGGCGACGGGACGGTGACGGCGAGCAAGGAACCGCCAGACCGACCCTCAGGCCAAGACGACGGGCGGCGACGACGCAGCAAGGGGGGGCGACGGCAAGGACGGAAAACCAGACCGCCCCTCAAGCCCAGGCCCAGACGACGGGCGGCGACAGGGCGGCAACGGCGAGGAGAGAGCCGCCAGACCGCCCCTCAGACCCAGCTACTAGGAAAGAGAGAAGGCCCCCTAAGTGCAAGCACTGTTTGGGAAATGTCATGCATTCAATGATGTTCATCATCTGGTGCCAGTGCTGGCGCCGGCGCTGGTGCCAGTGCCGGTGCCGGTGCCGGTGCTGGTGCCGGTGCAGGTGCGGGTGCGGGTGCCAGTGCCGGTGCTGGCGCCGGCGACGGCGACGGCGCTCGTGCCGGTGCCGGTGCCGGTGCCAGTGCCAGCGCAGGCGCCGGTGCCAGCGCCGGTGCCGGTGCCGGTGCCAGTGCCGGTGCCGGTGCCGGTGCCGGTGCCGGTGCCGGTGCCGGTGCCGGTGCCGGTGCCGTGCTGTTGTTGGTTTTGTGTGGTGTATTTTTTTTTGTTCTGCTGTTGCGTTTCGTGTTTGATCTTTTTGCGTGTTGTTGCCTTGTTTTTTCAGGCTGGGTTCATTGGTTGCATTTGTTTTGTTTGTTTTGTGCTTTGTTTTGTTGTTTATTTCTGCCTTTTGGTTTGTTGGTTATAATTTCTTTGTGTTTTTTGGTATGATGTTTTGCTTTATTCTTTTTTTTGGTGCTTTTTTTTTGTTGATTGGATGATTTGTCTTTTTGGTGCGGTTGCTGTGACGGGCCGGTGCCGGTGCCGGTGCCGGTGCCGGTGCCGGTGCCGGTGCCGGTGCCGGTGCCGGTGCCGGTGCCGGGTGCCGGTGCCGGTGCCGGTGCCGGTGCCGGTGCCGGTGCCGGTGCCGGTTGCCGGTGCCGGTGCCGGTGCCGGTGCCGGTGCCGGTGCCGGTGCCAGTGCCGGTGCCGTTGCCCGTGCCGGTGCCGGTGGGCGAGAATCGCTCTATAGTGGTGGTCAGGTCTCCTTCTTCAGCCGTATCAGAAGGCATCTTGGGCATCTTGGAGGTCGCAACGTGTGGGTTTAGAGGCCCCGTGTGCCAGGGAGTTGCGCTGGGGAGCTCGCGCGCCCTCCCGTGACGGGATTTGTGGCGCCAGTGGAAAGGGGAAAGGTGGAGGGTGGCAACCAAATGTGTTGTACGTTATTTCACTCCATGCAAGCGGGGGTCGGCGGATTGTCAAGCATCTGGTGGTGTAAATCGGGGATCTCTCAAGCGAGGGCCCCATTCCGATAAGGACCCGTCGTCCGCCACGCTTTTGAAACCATTGCGCGCGGCCCGTATGCGAAAGCCCGATTTGGGAAACTAGCCGCAATCCATCCTACTAGCTATGGTAAGAATTAAAGTTAAATTCTCGCGGCGCCACGGCGGGAACCCTGTCTTTTATGCCATTGCGTGTTCTTACAGCTCTGGCAAACTTTAAGTCGCATGGGCTCAACGCTAAAGCGAGGTCCCCATTTTGAAAATGACCCGCCGCACTGTTTTAATGCATAAACTTGGTTGCCACGATGTGAGGCATACGTATATTACTTGTCGGTCGGCCCATGGGGCACGCCCACACTTCGCATCCAGGGGGGGATCATCTTCCCAGTCGCACATTGCAAGGGTCCAGATGCCACTTCGTTGGGTACGTCTGTATCAGCTATCTCCTCCTTTCCCCCTCCTCCTGTGCAGTACTCGGTCACGTCCAGCTCTTGGGGCCGAAATTGCACACCACGCGGCGTCGGAAAGACCCGCGGCGATGCTGAGAACGCTTTCGCCGAACCACTCTTCCAAGGCAGCCAGGTGCCATCGCCTTGCCGGACTCGTCGGAGCCGTCGAACTGGAACGGCCCGGGTGGGCGAGGGGGCACGGACACGTGACGATGCCATACGATTGCCTAGCAGGAGTTGAACGAGATGCGTGGATTTCTCAAGATGTATGAATCCTGGTGCCTCGGGCGCACAGCCGACCACGGCACCAACCCGGGCCCAGATTACCACGGTTTGATGTTCTATGCAGGCGTCTTCTTCGTTTGTGTTTTCTGGCCTTTTCGTCTTTCGTCTTCTTCTACTCGAGCGTGTTGGACGGTAGCTCGTACATGAGTGATTGCGAGAAGCGCTTCTGGTAGGGCAAGTTCCCAGCCTCCCCTTGTCGCCCTCCCCCCGCCGTTTTCGCCTTCCGCCTAACTATCCGCCAATCTGCCGGACTTGTTGCTCTTTGGTTAGCGCTCGTGTGTCCCATACCCCGAGTGTTATTTCTGATGTTCGGTATATTCATGCTTTACGGTTCAGCTGTCGTGGTCAATGTCTCCAGTGACGATGCAATTGTTGCATTGATGTGCGTCGGGCAGCATGTCTGATCCGATTGTGTGATTGTGTAGGTGGTGGTACTGGAGCTTTCGCCTCGGTGTCCAGTTCAGTCCTCCTCCTTCCTCCACGTCCCAGCTCAGCCTCAAACTTTCTGTGGCAGTGCGATTGGATTTGAAATGCGAGCTGGCGGGTGAGGTTTGAAAGGCGTGTTCGAGGGTGCGCTTCGTGGCTGCAAGGGACGATTGAGCACAATCTGGCCTCCATACGTGCGGCGGTCGGGAAGTTCCAGCATCAGCAAATTACGTGGTGGGGCGAAGCGCACTGCCCGCCTTGCCGACACGTTTTGTGGAACGACAGGGAGGAGTTATTGTAGAGGCAAGGGATGGAGGATGATGATGCTGATGATGATGAGGAGGGGGAGGAGGAGGAGGAGGAGGAGGAGGAGGAGGAGGAGGAGGGAGGAGGGTAAGAAGGAGGGAAAGGACGTGAAGACCGTTTGTTGCTGATCCAGGGCAGTCCTTTCTCGCAGAAGCCGCTGCCTTTGATAGAACAGCCCAGGCCCTGGACCAATTGTACTCGCCCTCCTCCTCCTCCTCCTCGTCTTCTTCTATCCTCATCTTATATCCTCCCCTCCTCCTCCTCCGACTCCTCCTCATCCTTCTTCTCCTCGTCCTCCTCCTCCCTCTACCTCTCCCCCCCTCCCTTCCCCCCCCTCTCCCTTTCCTTTTTTGTCCACGTGATCCTCCTCCTCCTCCTCCTCCTTCTTCCCCTCCCCCCCGCTCTCACCAAACGACGACGACGACGGCGGCGGTGACGGCGGTGACATCGACGCTGGCGGCCCTCCTGCGCACCTGAGGCATCGATGCCGCCAAGCAGCCGCAGCCCTCGCGCGACCGGTGGCTGGGGCTC